CATAATTACTTTTCTGTGCCTGACTCTCTGCAGGACAGGAGTAGTCCTGGCCAGTAAAGAAAGACTCACAAATTCGGTTTCTAAGGTGGTCTTTTCTTGCACTTTGGACTATAACACAGGGACACTCTTACCTCTTGGATCATCTGCTGAATCTCAACTTGGTGGAAGATTGGGCCAGGCACAGAAATGGAGATTGTGACTGGGTAAGGAGAACCAGCAAAGTTTTAAATAGTCCTGTGGGCTTGTGTGATTGATTGAAATCTATAGAAATCCCCAATAGAATGTATTTCTAATTATCCATGACAGCTGATTCTCCTTCCAGAACTTTTAAGTGGGAGGTAGGTAGAGGGCAGAAAAATATCTCTACAGTTTTGTGAAAACAAAGGTCAACAAGGAAATCAAGTCACAAACAATACTTTGACTCATCTTGACCTAATCGGCATTTATAAAATTGATATCCAATAGCTACAGAATATATATTTCTTTAAATTGCACAAAGAATATCCATGAAATAGAACATATACTATGGCCATTAAACTAGTCTCAATAACTTTCACAAGATTAAAATCATATATAATATATTCTCTGATCACATTCTTGTGAAATCACAAATCAATAAGATTGAGAAAATCACCAATATTTTGGAAGTGAAGCAATACACTTCTAAATAATCTATGATTTGCCAAAGAACAAATCAGGAGAGAAATTATCAAATAATTTAAAATAAAGAAATAATAAAATGGATTTTCAAAATTTTTGATATGCAACCATGGCAGTTCTTAGAAGGAAATTTATAGATTTAAATGTCTATATTATAAAAGGAGAAATATATAAAAATAAGAGATCTAAACTTTCAATTTAAGAATTTAGGAAAAGAAATGCACATTTAGCTCAAAAATAGAAGAAAGGAACAAATAAAGATGAGAAGAAATTAATAAAATTGAAAATAGATGTATAATAAAGAAAATAAACAGAATCCAAAGTTTTCTTTTTCTTTCCTTTTTTTTCTTTTTGATAAATCACATGAAAGACTAAAGAGGGGGAAAAAAGGAAAAAATCCAAATTCTGAACTGCCAACATCTGGAATGAAAAAGCTACGATTCCTATAGATCTGTGGACATTAAAAAGATACTAAGAGGATGTTATAAAGAATTTTGTACCATTAAATTTCACATCTTAGATGAAAGTCTTTGAAAAATACAATTTTCATTAACTACTTTTGTGTAATAAATCACCTCAAAACTTGGCTTAAAATTTCAGCTACATAGCAATTTCTCAAAGTCCTGGGAGTTGACTGAGTTCAGCAGGATGGGTCTCACTGAAGGTCTTTCACATGGTTGCAGCCAGATGGTACCTGGGGCTGGGGTCTCCTGAAGGCTCAGCTGGGTCATGGGGACAGTCTCTCTGCTTTGGTTCCGTGTCTGTAACATGGCGTAGGGGGTCCTATCAGCAATGAGCGTAGACATTTTACCTGCAGAACTCGTGGATCCCAAGAGCATGTTTTCCAAGAGCAGAAGGTAAAAGCTGCAAGACTTCCTTAGACTTAGGCTCAGAATTTGTGAGGCATCATTTCTAGCACATTCTATTGGTCAAAGGGAGTATAGGGCCAGTACAAATTCAAGGGGATAGGAAATAGCATCTACCTCTCCATGAGATGAGTAGAAATAATTTGCATTCTTTTTTAATCTGCCCCCCAGGCAAATTTTCAAAACTGAAAAATAGATAATCTGTATAGCCCTATATCTGATAAAGAAATTGTAACTTTCTTAAACTATCCCTCAAAGGCAACTAAAGACCCAGTTTGCTTCAGTGTTAAATTCTACTAAATAATTTCAATCCATCTGGAATCCATTTTTACTGATGATTTGAGTAGGTGTCATGGTAAGTTTTCTCATGGAGAATCAAACAACCTAGCAGCATTTATTGAAAAGACTGTCTTTCCCCTGTTGCTCTGCAATGCCACTATAGCCTAGAGCATTGTGTTTGGGAGAGGTCTGTTTCTAGAATTCATATTCTGTTCTGTTGTCCACTTTGTCTACATTCAACACTACACTACGCTAACTAATATAATTGTATAGTAGGTCTTGTTATCTTGAACTGAATTTCCTCTAGTTTTGTTCTTATTTTTCAAAATGTCCTTGACTAACCTAAGTCCTTAGCATTTACATATGAATTTTAAATTCAGCTTGATTATTCCCCCATTCCTCGAAAAGAAAACAAAAGAAACAAAACAAAATAAGCAAGCAAACAAAAAACTTTGCCCTGATTTTCAATGATATCTTACTAAATATAGATTAATTTGGAGAGAACTGATATATTTAATATATTTAGTATTATAATCCCCAAATTGGGCATTTTCTCCATTTATATTAATGTAAGTCCATTAATTTCTCCCAATTATGTTTTATAGTTTTCAATATAGAAATCTTGCTATTTTTTGTTAACTTTATTTTTAGATATTTGGGGATGCTATTGCTAACCATATCATTTTCTTGATTTTGTTTTTTATTTGTTTCTAGTAGAGCTTAATATATTCAGTTTTATATATATTGACTTTGTATCTAGAAACATCATTTAAATTTAGGTATTAAATCTATTAGTTTATCTGTTATTTTTATTTTCTGAGTACTTGATCACATCAAGTAATGAATTTCAAGCAACGAATTTTGCTTCCTTTGAAATCCTTATAACTTTTATTTCTTTTTCTTGCCATTTTCATTGGTTAACTCCTTTAGTACTTCAAATATTGAGGAGAGAGTTTTACATATTTCACCACAGAGACTGCTGTGCAACAGGGTAGCTATCCTTTTTCAGATTGAGGAAATTCCTTTTCTTTTTTTTATGACTTTCTTATTATTTTCCTTTCTCTAGCTTTCTTTATTATAAGAATATAATCAGTACATAATACATATAACATACAAGATAAATGTTAATAAACCATGTTATTGGTAATGTTTCCACTCAACAGTAGGCTGTAGAAGTTAAGTTTTGAGGGAGTCAAAATTTATATATGGATTTCAACTGCATGGAGCCCACTTCCACATTGTTCAAGAGCTAACTGTTTTTTTTTTTTTATTTCGGCACATTATGGGGGTACACATTTTAAGGTTTCAGTAAATGCCCATTTCCCCCCCTTCTCCTCCAAGTCTGAGTCTCCAGCATGACCATCCCCCAAATGGTGCACATCTCACTAATTATATATGTATATACCTGCCCCCCCCCACCTGCCCAATACCCTATTACTGTAGTCCCTATGTGACCACTTAGGTGCTGTTCAGTTAATACCAATTTGCTGGTGAGTATATGTGGTGCTTGTTTTTCCATTCTTGGAATACTTCACTTAATAGTATGGGTTCCAGCTCTAACAGGAAAATATAAGATGTGTAATGTCCGACCGTTGTTTCTTAGAGGCTGAATAGTACTCCATGGTATACATATACCACATTTTACTTAACTCCATTCTGGAATTGCGATGGCACTTGGTGCTGTTCCACAGCCTTGAAACATTATGAACTTGTGCCTGCTATCAAACATTCCAAGTGCAGGTGTCTTTTTTGGTAGAGCGTGTCCATTGATCTTTTGGTAGATGCCCAGCAATGGATTGCCTGGATCAAACATGGTAACAGATTCACTTGTTATCGCGAGAGAGGTCTCCATATTGCTTTCCCCAGAGGTTGACACTAGGCTTTCGGCAGCTCCAACCCAGCAGTGTAGGAGGTGTTCCTCCTCTCTCGCACTCCATGCCAGGCATTTAATTGTTTGGCAGACTGATTCTTGAATAAAGGGCCATGTCTCACTGTAGTTAAGTGATATCTCATTGTAGTTTTGACTTTGCATTTCCCTGATGATTAGAGCGATGCTGAAGCATGTTTTCTCATATGTTTGTTGGCCCATGTCTTCTGTCTTCTTTAGAAAGTGTTCTGTTCAAGTCCCTTTGCCCACTTTTTTAATAGGGAGTTTTTTTGATTTTTCTCTTCCAGTTCTCCTAATTTTCATCCGATTTCATAAGTATATTAGTTATCAGCTCTTATTGGGATGTGTGCAAAAATTTTTCCATTCGTGTAGGTTGTCCTGTTTACCTTTCCATGACTCATTGTCGTTTGGCTGTGCAGAAGCTTTTTGTTTGGATCATGTCTATTGTACTTTATTTTTGTTGCTGCGTGATTGGCCTTTGGGGACTTCTTCATAAACTCTTTGCCTAGGCCGATGTTAGGAGAGTGGGGGGTTTCCACTTTTTCCTCTAGAAGTTCTAATATTATCATATCTTAGGTCAAGTCTGTTATCCCAAGCGCGTGACTCTGATTTCTTGTGAGAGGTGGAAAGGTGTCGGGCTCCTGTTTTAGCCTTCTACAGTGCCTATCCAGTTTTCCCGAGCACCCATTATTAAAAATGGGATTCTCATTTCACGAGAGCGGGTGATTGATTTAGCAGTCATGCTTTGTCAGATTAGATTGTATATGGCATAGGTCGGTGGTTTTATTGATCCGTTGATGAGAGGAGATCTCAAGATGCCAGTGTTCGAAACTGAGTTCAATGAGTGTGGTTTCCATATTTTATGTATCTCTATGTTTGTTAAGGGCTGTCAGTGTGTTTATTTCATAGATTGGTGGGATGTTTCAGGAGAACTGGAAATGTTCCATTCTCATTGTTATATTTGAGAGTATATAATTGATGTTCATGTGAAAGATTCTGTATTACAGTAAAACATTAGAAAGTGTGGAGATAAGTTATATACAAGGTTGCTACTGTTTTTGGTAACCGCTCCATATTTACCTGTGCGATTTTGAAGCTTAAATGGGATCTAGGGATATGTGGCAATGTATCCTATTAGAATAACTGTTCATTAAGATACGGACTGGACAATTTTTTGCTCATATAACTAGAAGTGTGGTGCATTAAAAATAGATGTAGTCTTTAGGCACGCGTTAGTAACAGATCCAGCTATGAAAAGAGAGTGCTCGCCTTTAGTTATCCTAAGATAGCACTGTTCAATTAGTGTTAAAAATTTTTAATAATTATCATAGGTTAAAGTAGCTGTAAAAATACAGCATTTTAACTTTATTTATAATATTGTGATGAAGAATACTCCTCTAAGATAGAAGAGAATAAGCATAATGATATTGTATGGACTTGCTGCTCTGTGATCATTATTTTAAACAGAGAGCAGGAGTCTGCTGGAGGTTAAGGAGAGAAATGGAAATGCATCCAGCAGGCTTTTCATGTCATTCCAGAAGCTGCGGATGCTCTTTTTGCTCTTCTTCAGCTTGAAGACGTGTCAGGACATAAAGAATGACTTGATAGCAGAAAATATATTGATCCTCTGTCTGAACCATTCCGTGTCTTTGTAGTCTCATGCAGCGCACTAAGTCAGAGATGTCAAAATCCAGATCTTGCGTGATTAATCCTAGAACTATGTCGATGCATATCAGGGTCCCCGAACGCCCAATGCCAGCGCTGCAGTGTGTGATTATGGGGCCTGATCTGTGGATGTGTCTCATGTAGGAGATGAAGGTGAGCAGATCGTCTGGCCGAGAAGGGGTATGGTGGTCTGGCCAGGCAGTGAAATTCAGATGAGAAATATGTCGCACTTCTCCTGTCTGAATGTCTTCCAGGGTCATGGCCCTCACCACAAAGCCTTTCAGCTGCTGCATTCGCACAAGAGCCAGCCGAAGCCTGTCGTTGACCATTGTCGTTTTGCCTAGGATGTTAGGCCAGTAACGCTGGCATTTGATTTTTTCTCCTTCTACTTCTTGGGTCATCATGGCTATCACTGTAGATTTTTGTTCCCAAATCATCTGCCAGAAATCTCCGATGGTTGTAGGGAGAGGTCCTTGGCAGGCAATGTAAACGAACTCTTCTTTCCCCACTGGTATCTTAATGAAGCTGGCGTTGATGTACCCACCTTCATCTCCAAGAGGCACTCTGGTAGCATCATATGGAAGTATATTTTTATATCTGTTCTTCTTTCTATTTTCCTTAGTTTGTCCAATTAGACACTGATCCAAAGGTTTTAATTCTTGAAGATTCTCCAGCTCCTTAGAAGGAATTCCTTGTTCTAGTAAACCTCGCAACATTCAAATGACTGATTTTAACTTGGCACCAGTGTATTTACCAGAGGAGAGCACTTTGACAACAGGGGGTGCAGCAAGCTCCTCGTTTGTCAGAAAGGGGTGATCTTTATCAGAATTCTTGCCTTTATCTTCATGGTTTGTTTTCTCTATTGGCAATTCATCACTTCCCCATGTTATTTCATCATCATCAGTCTTCCTTTCTTGTGTCTTCTGAATTAAGCTTTCACTTTTTATGTTTTCTTCACAATGTTCTTCACAGCCATTTATTTTGGTAGACTGAGAAAAATCCTCAGGTAAAGGTGAACCATCACAGTCTGTATCTTCTGCTCTCTCCTCTGGTAACTTCCCATTTGTCTTCAGCATACCTGAAACACAGGCATCTCCTGCTGCATTATTTTGGTTTAAAAGATTCTGGGCTTCCTCATCCACAACATCTAGCAGAGACTGGATGACTTCAGCTTCTTGAGGGTCATCATAAATGTCATCTTCTTGAATATCAGATTCTTTGGACAGAGTCAGGTTTTCTGATCCCTTCATTTGATAAGTAGAACATTTTCCTTCAGGGTACAAAACTTCAATGATTTCTTCCCTATCACCCTTGGAGATGAAGTATTAGGAGTTGTAGCAAGGGCAGTGGACTGGCCACAAGGGTCTACACTGTGATGGACATCGGCTTTGGTTGACTTGGGGAGAGTTTGAAATGGTACAAAACTCTCGCCCTTTGAATACTCGGGGTGACCGACCTCCTCGCTGTGATCTCGTTGTTGCATTGCGTGAAGGAAGTAGGTGTAGATCTAAATGCTACTGTTAAATGCTTGTCTCATTCTCACGTGCTTCCTGTGTGTTTCTGACTCCATTTCATAATCATACTATGATATGGACATCTTAATAGCTGGGGATTACCCTCAGTAGCTGCAATTGACTTTGGATATAATCATAAATTATATACCACTTGATGGAAGGCTGTCATGACCTCCCGAAGGAAAAACCCAAACTACTTGTGGTGTTGCATGGTAGTGTAATGTCGGTAGCAAACTGAGGCAACACTGGCATTACCTAGGGTAATTCTAGCCAACTCGCCCAAGGACTAGATGCTGGGACTGTCCTTGGGTTGTGCTCGGAGCAGACTTCACTGCATTCTGTTGTGAGTCATATTCGTAACGTCTGTATCATTTAACCTTTATGACGCTGGGTCCCCAGGTTTTTAGCCTTCGGTCCACTTTTTGGCTGGATCTCATGTGAATGACACCATGAACATAAACAACCAATACTCTGGTTGGCCTTTGGTGGACTTGTAAAAGCCTAGGCTTTCCTTTTTCTGATTTAATTAGGTAATGAGGGGCGGGGGTTTTACTTCCAGCTCAAAAATCTTCCAAGGTGGTTTTCCAAGTCTTTTTCAAGAGATGGTCAATTTTCTTGTCTACTTGGTATCAGCATGTGTGATTGTATGATATTTATCCATCAAATGAGAAGAAGCAGATTCTGACTGGGGTTGGATAACTCTGGGCCAGGAAGGCACAGTCCAGTGGTAGGAGGGGAAGGGAGGATTACTGTTTTCAAATTCTAGAGGTTTATATGGAGAAATTTTCTGAGGATAGTAAAACATGGTACAAATAGTATCTTCTTGACTCTTGGGTGCTTCTTGTTGACTCTGTGCCTGTGATACCATGTTGTTTAGAGTCTGATGCAAAGCTGAACTCCAGGTCACATTTGATATCTTTGCTGGAGCTTTCACTAAGTCATCTTCTCCACTCCCACTGCTGTCACTATAACTGTCTCTTCTGGATGGGGACTTGCAACGTTTCTTGCTTTTGTCAGGCATTTCATTTTCATCTGAGCTAGTGCCTTGCTCCACACATGAGGGTTGAGAAGAAACTTTACTGTTGTTTGGAAGTACTTGTGCTGGAGAGTGAAGTGGGGTCAAAAGAGCAGTATCAATTTCCGGTAGCACACCAGGTGGAGGTCTACAGAGAAGCAAGAATACTTCTGGAGCAGTTCCCCTGAGAGCAGATATAACTTCCTGCTGAGACAGTCCTTTCAAAGAGGCTCCATTCACTTTTAAGATAACATCTCCCACATCAATTTTTCCACTTTCTGCTGCTGGCTGTCCAGGAAAGAGCTTTTTAACCCTTACTATGCTGACATTCATTTGTTCAGGTATAAGATCATCTTCTCGAGAAAAACTGAATCCTAGGCCTGAGCTATTTTTAAACAATTTTACCTCAAATGTATTTTCTTCAGTGACAAAGCTGTAGTCTTTAACATGAGTTGTTTTCTTCACCATTTTTTCTGGGGCTTGATCTTGGGCATTCTGATCTGAAAGGGTACACTGTGGTGTTAAACGGATATGTTCTTTGGATGCTGGACACTGTCCCTTTTCTAACAACAGATGAACCACCTGTCCTGTATTTCTCAGTGTTTCTTTCCACAGCTTGCTTATGGGTAGCTCCTTCCAGACTAACTCCATTGACAGCGAGAACACGATCACCTTTGTGAATTCTACCATCAGACTCTGCTGCTCCCTTGGGAATAACAGCTTTCACATAAATGCCACCATGTCTGACACTGGTATTCACACCTCCTGTGACACTTATCCCCAAGCTGTTATCATTTTTAGTCAGTTCAACCTCAATGATATCTCCAGGTTTAGGAGGTGATGAAGAAAAAGTTTTAAAATTCATTTTGTTGCATGTATTCATTGAGGAGGAAGGTTCCTTTTTTGGTGTTTGATGATCCTGGCTGCTGGAATAAGTGGCTTCATCCATGTCTGACTCTCCACGGTCAGAGCAATCTGTTGCATCTGAAATGCCTGGTTTTTAGCTTTGCTTTGGTTACTGTCAGTGGAAATCCTCTTTTTCTCAATGCCTTTGGGTATTACAGATGGGGAAGAGCTGACATGCTGTGATTCCTGCCAGGTTTGGTCACCTAAATGGCTGGCAAAGAAACCATTGACCTGGCTCTGGGACAAGCTGGCACTCTCAGTCCTGGAATCTTGAGAACTCAGGCTTCCTTCCCGCAGGCCCCCCGACAGTCCAAAGGAGCTCTCTGAGATGTGCCTCAGAGTACTAGGTGGCCAGTGGTGATCCTCAGAAGAATCTATAGCACCATCTTGCATGTAGGAAGGTTTCTTCAGGTAGTTTTTCATCCCATTGGCAAGATGTACAGGAGTAGAAGGCACTTTGGATATCTTTTCTTTTGGCTGAGAGATAACAAGCGTCACATCTTCAGGTGCATTTTGCAATATTTCAATTGCAGTATGGTGGCTGACTCCCTCCAGACTCACACTATTCACAGATATTAAACGGTCTCCTGGCTTTAAGCATCCATCCAAGTCAGCTGGTCCTCCAGGGGTGATTGAACTGATAAATACCCCTAAATCCAGTCTTCCCATCTTCTCCCCACCAATAATTTGAAATCCTAAGCCATACTTTGCATCTTTTTTCAGGTTCACCAATGTGATCTCCCTTTCTGGTGAAGATACTACGCTCCATCTTTTGTGTAGTACATCATTTTCTTTTAAGGATACTTGGGAGGAAGCATTTCCAGAACTATGTATAGTCATTCCTAGAACACATGCTTGACCAGGGTCTTCAATGGATGAGGAGTCTGATTCATGTTTCCTCCTTTCAGGACTTCTATTTAAACTTGCAACAGACTTTGAATTATTAAGTTTTGTGAATCCTGCCAAAGATTCTGTATCAGATCTTCCCATCTGGTGAAAAGGTTTTCCCACCAGCTCCGCAATGCTTTTGTGCGTGGGACTTCCATGTTAACAATGGCAAGTTTTTCCGATGAGGATAGAGAGAGCGCCTGACTCGAGATCATGGTATGATTTACCATCCCTTTGGGCTTATTCCTCCCATAAGCTTTGTCACTCTTCTCTTGTTGAATTGTTTTGCAGGGCTGGTAAAGCGACACGCTCTCAGAGCAGGATAAGCGCTTCTTCAGAATCCTCAGCCTTGGACTGAAAAGGCCGAACGCAAGTTTTGTTCAGGGTGCTGCCGGCCAGAACTGCCAGTGCTGACTGCTCGTCCCATAATTAAATCCCGAACGGACTCTGGCTTGGGATTCAGGTACAGGCTCCCCTAAAAGCGAATCCTCTCCACCCTCAACCTATCGTTGGCCACTCTTGGTTGCTTTGTCTTGGTTCGCATCTGTAGCTGGAAGCATTGTGCTGGGAAGAGCAGAGGTGGCAGGCATACTGGCATAGCCTTAGCCTGTGTTTCTCTGTCGGAGTGGCACTGTGTTATTCCCAGTCTGATGTGATTTTGCAATGTGATTTTCTTTTAGAAAAGAAATCTTCTTGGTTTCCCTCCATGGGAAAGGGCGAAGGACGGGCAATGTGTGAACTCCCATTGTGAACTTCAACACACCAAGGACACCTTTGGACAGACTCCCAGCAATATTCCGTTCGAGGCTTCTTTCTCCGCGGTGCACTCCGGTGAAAAGTGAACCACATATTCTTGTCCAGTGCTTTGGGCAACCTTTAAAATTCTAACTCTGTTCTCTTTTTCAGCAAGCTCCCACATAGAGTATTGTGTCAATTTGGGTAAGCTCTTCTTTAATATAGGATCAAATCAAGTTTCTCCATTACTCTGGCAGGCAAATAATGTTCCAGTCTAAAATAAGACATACCATGAACCTCTCTGGTTGATAATCTCCATACTCAGCCTGGAGAGCCAAGGATGGCCAGCACCATAAGGAAGTCTCATCATCACAGTGCATCCTCTCGTCCAAAATATCTTTTCGCAGCTGAAGGTAATACTGATGACAGGTCATAGTATGCTGTATTAGACTAATATCATCCATGAAAAATTTAATTTGGAAAAACAAAGTAAAATTAACAGTGGCTTTGCTCTTTTTCTTTGGTTCTTCTTTCCATCCCTCTGGGGCCATTTGGTTAATTTTAAATCGGGATCAACAAAGAAATATTCATTATCTTTGAGGGTAGCTAAAGCAAACAAATGATGCTCCACTAAGCCGATGTGGGCCACGACCATATCGAACACATCTTTACATATAGTTTTGGTATCGCAGGTCAGTTCCAGTCTCTGCCCACTCAGAAGCATTATGTTTACTTTCCTTCGGTTATCCTCATTCTTCCCTTTCTTGGAAGGATAGACCGTGGCAAATCCAAAGATATAAATGGTTCAATCGTCATTTTCACAAACTCAGGGCCAAAGAAATTTCTCAGTTTTCTTTGGGTCATGGCTGTTTCTAGGGCAATTTCTCTTAAGGGATCCCTGGTGATGTCAAGCATGGAAGCTTTGATTGTGTCTCCTGGATACAGGCTTAGCCGAGACTGCCTAAGGGCCATTCTGGCTTGCAGCTGCATCATTTCTTCTTCTTGCCATTTTAGCATGATCTCTTGATTAATTAAGTTGCCTTCAAGGGGTATTTCATATTGTCTGCTTGGTCTCTGCGACTGGCCTTGACTTGGGGTTTCATCTACCCCTGGGAGACCACTGCTGGATTCAAACCTCTTTGAGGCTTCACTTCTTCTAACTTGTCTGAAATCTGATTCAGAGGAAATAATAGATGGACTTTCACTGGAGGTACTAAAGATGTCACTGTGGTAAGTCTTGTATCTTCGAATTGGTTCTTCTACATTCATGGCTTCTCTCAGAACCTGAAGTTTCTTTTGTCTCACTTGATATTGCTGTGGAGGTGGGCAATTCTCGAGTGTGATATACTGGATCCATTTTCTGAGGGCCAAAGATATCCAAGGCTATACTTCCATCTGAGTATCTTGCCTCCTTTTTTCTAGGAGTAGTTGAAGTCCGCACTGTAACTGGGTGACAGTGGCGGGAGGTGCCAGTCTCTCCAGAAGAGAAGTCTCTGTCAGCTGTACAAAGCAAGTCCATGGATGAAGCCCAAATTTTCTTCTTAGGAAGCACATCAATGCCAGGGATAACTTGTTTTTCTGGGCCACTAGTTTTGAACTGGTAAGGGGAGCACGTATTTTCAGAATCTTCATGCCCAGAATTATCTGATAAAATGTCCTTGAAACGATCTTCCTCATCTTGTGTATCTCTGATAGACAGAAATCCCATAGATTTACTAAGCCCTTTGTTAAGAAAGGTCTGATGAGAGAATGGAGACTTGTGTATGTCTAGTACATCAGAAGTAGAGCTTCTTCCTGTTGGTAATCCTTTTCCTCTCAATCGGTCTTGAATAGCCTGGCTTCGATCAGGCCTTTGTTCACTGTTACCGGGAAGTTGATCCATCCCAGGAAGATTTCCCAGAACCAGTTTTACCAAGTGTTTCACGTAGGAGAATGAAGGTGCACAATGGCTATTCCTAATGTGGGCGCTGCAAGCATCCAGGTCAGTCCGCACAGAAACCCGAGCGTAAATAACATCCTCACACATTCCCAGCAGTATGCTGTTGAGATGATCTCCCAGCTTGATAGGTTGGCTCTGAGGTACTTCATGATCAGCCCCCCAACACAATGTCATTCCAAGAGAATAAATATGGATGTTTTCCACATCTGAGAGAGAAGTTAGTGACTGATTTTGAAGAACCTCTGGTGCAGTGAATGCTCGGAGATCCTGATTGGAAATATTTTCATCTGTAAATGACACACTACCAGATGGCAGCAACAGCAGAGACCATGGAGAAATGATGAAGCCCAGGGCAGCAGGATCAGCTTTGCTTACTTTTCTGAATAATTCTTGGAGACTTTCAGCACTTTGATTTAGTACAGCCCATATTTCTTCCTCCTCCAGTGGTCCACCCCGAACCTCCAGGGCCTCAGCTAGTGACAAGTGCATATTACCGGCTCGTCCAGAGACCGCGTCCTGCTGCTACTGGGGCGCCGCGCGGGGGCTGCGGGGACGCGGCGTCGGGGCCGGCCGCCGAGAGCCGCCACCACCTCTTCTCCCCAAGCGGCTGTGGGCGCGGGCTGAAGGAGCTGGAGAAGGAGCCTGGGGATGGGAAGAAGAGCATCTCCTCCTCCTCCTCGCCTCGGAACCGCCCCTCCGGAGGCGACCCCGCCGACCGCCTTGACCCCAGAGCGCCCCGGCCCCGCGGCGCTCTCGCGCCCCTCCGAGGGCGCCGTCAGAATCCTCGGGCGCCGCGGGCTCAACTCCGGCAGCGGACTCTCAGCGCGGCCCAGGCGGCCGGGAAGCTAGGCAGCGCGGCTCGCCCGCACGACGGTCTCGGGGGCCGTGAGCATGGTGAGTGTCACCCTCGCCTCAGCGCGGCCGCTCAATATTCCTATTTTTGTGCCAATACCAGATTGTTTTAATTACTACAGCTTTGTAGTATAGTTTGATATCTGGCATATTAATGCCTCCCATTTT